GGGGGGGGGAGGGGGGGAGAGAGGGAGGGAGGGAGAGAAGGGACTTTTTACTGTGTACACTTCTATGTTTATTTTTGTAAGGAGAATGTGTTTGTGCACATATGGGTTCTTAAAAACATCAAAGTTGTAAAGAAAGGAAAGAGGAGAGGAAAGGAAAGGAAATGGAAAGGAAGGGTTAAAATGATCACCGTGCTAGTACAGGGCTCAGGTTGACTTCCGGGATCTTATCTAATTCCCTCCATGCTCTCTTGAGGGCAAGCATTTAAAGCCCCATTTTACAGATTTAAAAACTGGACCCAGCGAGATGGTACAAGCTGCTCAGGGTCACAGGCAGGGCTGCAGGCACTGACTTTTGAATTCCAACTCCAGAACACTTCTAACCTGTATGCAGGACAGTAGGCAAGGGCTGGGGGCAGGGGCTATGTTCTGAAGCAGCAGGGCAGCCTGCTGGCAGAGCCTCTGAAAAGCCCCTCCAGGAGGGAAACAAGGGAGTAAACGATGAGGGGTGAGAGAAGAGCTGATGAACTGCCGCCCCCGATAAGAATTAGACATCAAGATGAGCCACCCACTGAGTGGGATGGGGCTGCCACGTCACTCGGCAGCACGTGGGCGGGAGCCTCGCAGGGCCATGTCCCCAGCCTGAGATTTCATACCGCTCCCCTGGGGGCTGTTTGCCCCAGGCCTGGCTGAACAGTTTCCATTGCAGGGGTTCCAGGAGTGACCCCCTGCTCATTCCCTAGAGCCCTCAGTAACCGGGCGGAAATGGAATTCTAAAACCTGCAGAGCAGGGTGAATAGAACACACACTGTCAATGCTGTCAGTGCCATCACCCATTGGTTCTTTCACTGCTGCTTTGGCACCAAATGTCCAAGGGTGTGTGGAAGGCCCCAGGAAACATGGCCAGACCTCTCCAGGGACAGCCAGAAAGGCTTAGTTAATGGGGACAGACCAGAGTCTGCTGAAGGGAACAGAGGACAGAGGACGCGCACACACCTAAGCGGCACAATGGTCAGGTCTGACCCTGAGAATACACCCAGAAAAGAAGGTTTTGGCTAAATCATGGATCCCCTGTTCATCCTCACAACAGGAAGCGAACCTGCAATGCCATGAAGGCAGTGTGAGAGCTTGGATGCTGGGGGTTCTGACCCTGCTTTGCCATCTTGGCCAAGGTTCTGAACCTCTCCCAGTCTCAGTTTCTCCATCTGTAGAATGAGTGTTATTATAAATGGCTCAGATAGTGATAGCTGGATCATGGGACACATAATAATAATACAATTAAATAAATTATATCGAGTACAGGGTATCCATAAGATCTGGAAACATAGATTATTTCCAAGAAGGGACCCCAAAAAAAACCCAGAATTATTTTTTGGAGGGTGGCCCTTTGTAGTACAGGCTTTTCTCGCTAGGTAAGTGTTCTAGGAACCCACTGGCATCAGTATATCAGTTAGCATTGTTGTGAGAGGCTGCATCGTTTCAGTTCTTTTTTTTTTTGAGATTCTTTCAACGCATTTGTCCATTTCATGGTGGGTGATTTACACAAAAAACCTGTCCACACCATGCTGAGTGTTTCTGACCCAAAACAGCATGACCTCCGTGTCCTATCCTTCCTATTCACCCAGTCTTGCCCTGAGCGACTTTGTTTCCTCAGATGAAAAAAATCCTTGAAGGGAAATGTTTTGCTGATGTGGAAGAGCTGAAACAAAAAATAGCAGAAGCACTAAAAGGCATCAAAATGAATGAGTTCAAAAACTGTTTTGAGCAGTGGAAAAAGCATCTTGATAGGTGCATTACATCAAATGGAGAGTACTTTGAAGGTGACTGAAGTTTAAACATGTAAGAATAAATACACAATTGTTTATAAATAATTCTGGTTTTGGGGTCCCCCCTCATATATGTGTGTTTGTTTATATTTATTTATTCATTCACTTTGAGTGAAAATGTATGACAACATTGTGTATATCTATGTTTTCAGACTTTATGGACATCCTATGATAATAAGACTATAAGGAAAATATAATCTAGTAATAATATAATAAAATAAAACATATTAATGACCATTTCCTCAGTATAAGAGATATATCCAAGCACTTCACAGGGAGCATCTAAGTTAATGTCCACAGCAAGATCATAAGGTAGGTATTCTTATTAACCCCATTTTACAGAAATTAAGTACAGGGAGTCAAAGTCGCTTGTCTCCCTGTCAAGGTCACACAGGGAACTAACAAATCCGGTGTCAGACCCAGGTAGTCTCGCTTCGGGATGTTTGCCCATAACCTTTCCTCAACACCATTTATGTCTGCAGTGAAGGGGAAATAGAATGGAACAGCATTCAGAGACTACCAGGCATGGGGAATAGCACAGAGGAGGGGCTTAAGAAATGCACGATCTAATGAGTATTGAATTCCTGGAGGGGAGAAACCAGATCCTACTTAATCAGTACTGTAATGCACAAGCAATAGGTTGTCAGTAAATATTTGTAGGAGAGAAGGAAAATTATTATGGTACTCATTAGCCAAAGGCTGGAATCCTTGCTTCCAAAGGCTGGGCGCAGTGGTGCATATCTACGGATCTGAGCTACTCAGGAGGCTGAGGCGGGAGGATTGCTTGAGGCCAGGAGTTTAAGACCAGCCTGGGCAACATAGTGAGACCCTCCCATCTCTAATAAATAAATACATACAAACAAAATAAAAATGCTTTCCAGAAAAAAAGTCTAAGATAAATTGTAAGCTTTTCCTGGGAATATCCACGCCCTAAGATGTGTGGGGCTGCTGGAACTTGGGAGAAGGTCGTAGACCTACCAGGCCCACACCTCGACGGCACAAAACCTGAAACCCAAACTCTGAGCAGGAGGACCTAAGAACCAGGGCAGCAGAAGGGGCCTACCTTCCTCAGCGTCATTCCGCAGCGAGGCCTCCAGCAGGGCCACGCTGGCCTCGAAGGACACCTTCTTGCGACGGCCACCCGTGCTGCGCTTCCGCTCATGCTTGCGCTTGCGGTGCTGCAAGTCCTGCTCGTACTGCGCCCACTTCTTCAGCTGCTGGGCCCGGCGCTTCTGGGCGGCTCGAAGCCGCTCCAGCGTGGGCACCTTCTCCAGCAGCTGCAGCTCCGTCAGCAGGTCCACGTGACTGGCCATGGCCACCACCCTCCCCACGCCCTGGCTGGGGGCTAGCGCGGAGCGCTGAGGGCCTGGGGAGTGCGGGGCCTCCTCTGCGGCTGGAGCCTCATGGTGGAGCCTGGGGCAGAGAGGGAAACAGAGGGACACGCGGGTCAGGCTCAGAGACGCAGATCTGATGATGTCACCCCACAGCCCATGTTCAAACCCTTTGGAGGTTTCCGCTCCGTGGCTAATCGGACTAAAGTACAAATCCTTACAGTGACCTGCAAGTACCAGCAAGGTCTGGCTGTACTGGCTGTGCTCTCTACTCATGTGGCTATTCTAATTTAATTAATCACGTTTTTTAAAAAACAGAGATGGGAGTCTCACTATTTTGCCCAGACTGCTCTCAAACTCCTGGCCTCAAGAGATTTTTCCAGCCGGGCTCGGTTGGTCAGCCTGTAATCCCGCACTTTGGGAGGCTGAGGTGAGTGGATTGCCTGAGTCCGCGAGTTTGAGACCCGCCTGGGCAACTTTACGAGACCTCATCTCTACAATAAATCAAAAAATTAGCCGGATGTGGTAGTGTGCGCCTATAGTTCAAGCTACTTGGAAGGCTGAGACAGAAGGATCACTGGAGTCCAGCTGGTCAACACTGGGGTAGCTGTGAGTATGCCACAGCACTCCAGCCTGAGCCACAGAGTGAGACGCCAACTCAAAAAAAAAAAAGTTATGTTGTTATAACATATGCATGAGCTTATTGCTTTTTAAAGGAATTAATATTATTTTTATTAAAAATTTCTCAGTATTCATTTATAATATGACAAATATTAACAGATATAAGCTACATAAACAGAAGCACTTTGGAATCCTCAATTTAAGGAAATAGATTCTAAGTCCTAAAAGTTTGAAAACTACTGGAACCTAGAAAATCTTAAAGTTTCTCTCTTTGGATGACTTTAACACACACACACACACACACACACCACACACACACACACACACACACACACACACTTCTTGCTTATGTCCTAGAAACATGAGGTCAACAAAATTTCAGAGTCAGAAGCCAGCTAGCCTTCATGTCAGCACAGACCTTATGGATCTCAGACTAAGAGGGAAAGGGTCTTGGGACAATCACCTACCTAAATCTTTTGTTCCACCTGCAAAATGTTCTACTCACTTCCCAGAAGTTACAGGGTATTCAAGGAATAAAAAGAGCTGGCAGCCGGGCATAATGGCTCACACCTGTAATCCCAGCACTTTGGGAGGTAGAGGCAAGAGGATTGCCTGAGCCCAGGGGTTTGAGACCAGTCTGGGCAACTTGACAAAACCTCATCTTTATAATAAAATTTTTAAAAATAGCTGGGCATGGTGACGTGCACTTTTAGTCCCAGCTATTTGGAAGACTGAGGCAGAAGGATGGCCCGAGTCCTGCAGATGGAGGCCGCTGTAGTCATGGGTGTGCCACTGCACTCCAGTCTGGGTGACAGTGAGACTCCGACTCAAAAAAAAAAAAAAGTTAAAACACCTAACAGCAAAAAGCCTCGAGCTTGGAGCAGAGGGGCAGGACACTGTAATTACAACACATCTGTGAACCGCAGGCAAGGCTGGTGGTGGAATGGCAGGCAACAGGAAAGGACTGGCACGATTCTACTCTGTGTAATGTGGAAATACCTACTGTCTCAGAGAGAATCAGGATGGACCAGCTCCAGGAAGTGCTGTGGACCTCCGGGGTCCCCTCCTCACCCCGCCTCTCTGAACACATTTCATCAGGAAGCTGAAGACCAGGATTCTGGCCGAAAACCTCAAGGCTCAGGTGGATTCTCACAGGTCTTCAGGCTTCTGCCACCTCTGGGAATGGAGGGTTAATAGGCAAAGTGGGGCAGGGGTTGGCTTGGCCAAGCTCTCAGGGTAAAGGTCCCTGTGTCTGACTTCAAGCATAAATAAGCCAATGGCCAGGCTCAGCAGGAAACAAGACAGCTGGCTTTGGTTGCCTTTTGTTTGATTTGAATGCCTTGAAACGTGTTTTAAATTAATTAATTAAACTTTTTATTTTGAAATTATTGTAGAGTCACACACAATTGTGACAAATACAAGAGGGGGCCCCCCCAAAAAAATCTGGATATATTTTTTGGAGGGTGGGCCCCTTGGATTATAGGCTTCCCCTACTGGATAAGTGCTAGGAATCTGTCAGCATCAGTGTATCAGCTAGCGTAGTTGGGAGAGGCTTCAGGGAATTTTTTTTAGAGATTCTTTCAACAGGTTTGCCCATTTCATGGTGAGTGATTTACGAGTGCACTTGCCCACACCATGCGGAGTGTTTAGCAGTTTCTAACCAAAAACGGCATGACCCCCACACCTCTCTATTCACCCAATCTCACCCCGAGCAATTTTTTTTCATTGATAAAAAAAGTTCTAAAAGGAAATGTTTTGCTGATGTGGAAGAGATGAAACAGAAAACGAAAGAAGCACTAAAAGACATTAAAATTGATGAACTTGCCCAGGCACGGTGGCTAACACCTGTAATCCCAGCACATTGGGAGGCGGAGGTGAGAGGATCGCCCGAGCCCAGGGGTTCAAGACCAGCCTGGGCAACTTGGAGAGACATCATCTCTAAAATAAATTTAAAAATTAGTAGCACGTGCTGTAGCTTGTGTCTATAATTCCAGCTACTTGGAAGGCTGAGGTGAAAGGATCACCTGAGCCTAGCAGGCCAAGGCTGCAGTAGCTGTGAGAATGCCACTGCACTCCCACCTGGGCAACAGAGTGAGAATACAACTCAAGAATAAAAAAAGACGAGTTCAAAAACTGTTTTGAGCAGTGGAAAAAGCAGCTTGATAGGTGTATTGTAGTAAACAGAGAGTACTTTGAAGGTGACTGAAGTTTAAACATGTAAGAATAAATACACAATTTTTATAGATTCCATTTTTTGGTCCCCCCCTCGTAATACAGAGGGATCCTGTGTACACCTCACCCAGTTTATCCAAACAGCAGTACAAAATCACAGCCAGGAACCTGACATTGATACAATCTGCCAAACTTACTAGATTTCCCCACTCTTGCAGGTACTGTTTGGATGTGTGTGTTTCATTTTATGCAATTTCATCACATATCTATCGTCACAGTCAAGATCCAAGCAGCTCCACCACAAGGATCCTTGTCTTCCTCACTCAGAACCACACCCATCTCCTTCCCTAAGCCTCCCTCCAACCTACTCCTGTCCCTGCCTTGGCAATTAATAATCTGTTCCTCATCTCTAGAATTTTATCATTTCAAAAAGTGTTATATAAATAGAACCAGAGAGCAGGTAACCTGTGGGGACTGGCTTAGTGCTGAATAGTATTGCATTTTACGGATGGTCCCAATTTGCTTAACTATTCATCTATTAAAGACCATCTGGCTAGGTGCAGTGGCCCACACCTGTAATCCCAGCACTTTGGGAGGTAGCGGTAGGAGGATTGCTTGAGCCCAAGAGTTTGACACCAGCCTGGGCAACATAGTGAGACCCCATCTCTATACAAAAATTAAAAAAAGTTTGAGTTGTTTCCAGTTTGGGGTTATTAAGTTCAATTACAGGTTTTTGTGTTCGTTTTTGTTTCCTAGGGGCAAATGCCTCAAGGGTACAACTGATGAACCATATGGTAACTGCGTGTTTGGTTATAAAAGAAACTGTTAAATTGCTCTCCAGAGTGGCTGGCTGGACCAGTTTTTATTCCCTCCAGCGATGTATGAGTGATCCAGTTCCTCTGACAGCATTTAGTATTATCACTGCTTTCTATTTTAGCCATTTAGAGAGATATTTGGCTGCTTTTTGAGGAGTAAGGAGTTCAAACTCACAACAGGCATCATGATAGCCAGGCCTCACCGGTAGCTAGCAAACTATGTGTTTATTTCACCCCACTTCCTCACATGAGCAAAAACATTTGATGAACACCTGTTCTGTGAAAAGCCCTGATTCAGAGATGTATCTTCTGGGAAGTCTCTGTCTGTCTGTCAGTCTATCTGCAAATCCTTTTAATTCTTCTATTTAATTCTTCCAATAACCTAATCAAATAGATATTATTATCATGCCCATTTTCCAGATAATAAAACTGAGGGACAGAGAGATTAAGTTAATGTACCCAACATCATATACCTAGAAAATGGAACAGTCAGTCTGCCTGGGGTTATTATCAAAGGCCTTCCAGAGTACAGGACAACTGATCTAAATCTCAAAGAATGAGTATGAGGATGAGTTGCCTGGGTGAGAGGAGTTGAAAGGGAGTCTGTCAGTGTTCAAAGGCATGCAGAGGAGCTGACCACAATGGAGGGAATTCCAGAAACCAACACAGAAACATGGCTCCAAGAGGCATGGCTAGCCTAGCCCAAAGGGGACAGAGAAGTCTTGGGGACAGTGATGAGCCACCTGTGGCTGTGGCCAAGCTTAGCCAGAAAGCTCCTTGTGATCCACATCATGTGTGTTGGTTTGTTTAATTTTGGTCCACACCATGCTTTGCAATATTTTATTTCATTGCTAAGATTTAAAATTTGTAGAATTTATTTTCAACATCGGGTTTTCAGCTTCCTTAGAACATCTCAGTGTCTGGCCATGCTGGGCTCACATTGCAACCATCAATGGGTGCAGAGCAGGGCTGCCCCCTTTAGATGGGGAACACACCCTCTCATTTGCCAGAGTCCCCATTACTCTATTATACCCTCCTAACCTCCTTAACTGACATCACTTGCCAGCTCCTGTTTGAGTCTGCAATTCCTGACTTAGGCAAAATCGAGACAGCAGTCTCCAACCATCCAGAGCTCCCATCTGTACAAGAAAGGGAAGATAGTCTGTGAGTCTCCCCAGCACACAGCAGGACCAGGGGCCGGGGAAGCAGTTACGTGCACTCAAAGAACAGACACCTGGTCTGTAGTGCTGTCCAGCATGCAATTGAACAAAGGTGCTCATGGTCAGTGGCTGTCTCAGGAGGTCGCAGTTTCCCTGTCACTCACTGGAGGATAAAATTTCCCCTGGTGTCAACCTAACCTAAGTATTCTGTGAGATTTCTCTCAGCACTAAGATTCTGTACAATTACTCATTTCTTTGTTTTTATTACTGATCACTTCCAAGTGGGAGGTACCAAGAACATGCTAAAAGTGAAG